AGGACCGAAGAACACTGCTGAGGGGAGCAGCGGGCGGCAGGAGAGGTTTGCTTGCCAAGTGGGACCCTCCTCTGGTGGCTGGGGAGCAGCCGGGGATTGAACCAGCGCCGCAGAGGCTGCGGGCAGCTTCGCAACCCAGTGCTCTACCGCTGCACCACCGGGGAGGCCCAAAGCTAAGCTCATTTTGGTTTGAAGCTTCGAGCAGTGCACATAGATCTAACGAGGAGAAAATCGGAAAAGTGATTCTTTTCTTAGTGAATAAATTGTTTGGTGAAAGCTATTTTGGTAAATATCATCTTGTCAGTTAGTAATAACAATTAGAAATTTTCAACCCATGCATTTATTCATATTTTTTATTAGAACAATGGCAAAGCTTCCAACCACGAATGAGTCTCATGACACAAGTAGTAGTGAAGATGAGCTCCAGATAGACCTCTATACAGACATGTCAAACATGCACTAATCAGCCTGCAATGCATATTGGGGAGTGTTACAAAACTTATCATACTGTACAAAATTATAAACAATAAAATATTGTTTTTTTGCAAATATACATTCCTCGATGTCACCCAATTCATATAAGTCCAATATCATTATAATACGTTACTTGGTTCCAAAATTATACTAAATAATACGAGGGTCTGTAAATGCACGTTTCCGCCGCAAAGTAGCGTCAAGTACCTGGTAGCCAATGTCCAGAATGGTTCGGAGTGCAAAGGGTTAAGGGAAAGCAAATAGGGTAAGTGCTAAGGAGACATGGGTGGGGCTCTGGCAATTGGCTACAGATATTTTTTCCTTCCTCTAAACCAAGATATCCTGGGGTTTCCCCACTTTACCACCAAATCGGTGGGAAGGGCGGGTGGTCTATGTATCAGTCACATGCTGTCCCCTGGCCTCTTAGGTAACAGTCCCAGAGGACATTACAAGAAACTATGTGTGGCCTGGTTGACAACCAGATGCCACCTTGAATGGGGGAGGGGCAGAGCACAGAAAGATGAGCCTAAATACTTACCTATGTGGTGAGACTGTTTTAAACTGGGAGAGACTAAGTTTCTGTTATCCACCAGGTTTATATTTTTCTCTCTTAATAAAAGGGGAGACACAAGAAAAAATTTTAAAAATTCCCACTTATAGAAAATAAAAAACTATACATTTTTTGCACCTGTAAGTTGAGTTGTAATGGTAGATTTAAGTTTTCCCAGGAATACAATCTCCACAATGACAGAAACTTTCCCTGCTTCGATCATTGATATATTTGTAGCACGTGTGCTATGTGTGCTATGCAGGGTACATGAAGATGCACATCAATATTTGTTGAGTGAATATATGCATTGTATTTCCTTCCCATTCAAGACCTAAGTCATTTAATTTCAATTAGCTTATTGAAGTTTCACCCAGAGCTAGGCAGGAGTGCGAGTATATTCTCTTTGGCAATTAACTGCTTTAGTAGTGGAGGGAGTAGGTGTGAAGGAGCACTCTCTGCACCCCACACAAGTCTGGCTGGCTTGGTAGAAAATGGGGAGGCTGTCAGAGCACTGGCTGATGAGTGAAGGGCTGTGTGTGTCCCTTCAGGCCCTCTTAATCAGCATAAATGATGGCTGGGCTGTCCTACCCTGCAGCGATGTTTCTCCAAGGCTTATTATGATCAGGGATGAGCAGTGTTCTGCAATCAGTTATGCCCCAATGTCAAGGAGTAGAGCTGAATCCTAGGTCCAGCTAGACTCTTTTCTGTCTAGTTGGGTGACTTTGGGTGACTTCCTGAGATACAACAAATAAGAACATGCATTTTATAGGGAGGAAATTGGAGCTTATACTTGAGGAGCTTGCCCAGTGAGAGGTAGAATTAGGGCTCATACTGAAGCTTAATTATTAGATTTCTGACTACTGGGAGGTCCAGGATCCCGGCTAAGACTTATCAGTGGGTGCGCTGTCTTTAACCCCTGCACAACCAGGGAGGCCCTACAACCGCTGTTTTATTTTATTTTTTAAAGATTTATTTTATTTATGCATACAAGAATTGGGGTACAGGCCAAAGAGATGGGAGGGGTGAGAAAATTCATCAGAGACAGAGTGGGGAACAGAACAGGCAGATTGACTGAAGTACACTGCTAAGGGGAACAGCAGGCGAATCAGGAGAGGTCTGCTGTGCCATGTGGGTAGCTCCCTAGCCAGGAATCGAACTCATGCTGCAGTGACTTGAATAGCTTCATAGGTTGTGTCTTAACCCCTTGCGCCACTAGGGAGGCCCCAACCCGTTTTAATGCCAAGCCTGTAACTTCTTCAAAGACATCTTCCTTCTTTATTTGTTCCTTCTCCAGGTCCTACTGATTCTTCCACATCATCGCTCCCTCATCTGTCCTTCCTCTTCACTCGCTTGCCTTTCTTATCTGCCTTCATTTTTTGCTTCCATTATATCTGCTAGGTTTCTCCATTCTTCACTCCCTCAAATTCATCTTCCTAATTTCGGTATGGGTAGCTCCACAAACATTATTGTCAAATCGCTGAAGAGGAATTTTCCCATTCAAGTTGAATTCAGAGGACAGAATTAATTCCATTGGCCAGAAGAGGAAATGGTTGAATGTATGCCTCTGGTTCAGATGGCCATGGGTTCAAAACCTGGTTTCTTCACCTACTGTCCATTAGACATTGACCACATCACATTTTCTTCTTTGTGGAATGGGGACAAAACGAACTCACCTTATAGGAATGCTTGGAAAATGAAAAATGCAGTTGAGCCAGATTACTTTTTTAGGTTCTTCATACATTTTATCATTTTAAAGCAGGGGGCAGGCCACACAGGACATTATAGTCTGTGAACATAATCCCCAGCGCCAGCAGGGAAGATTATCACCTGCACAGGCAAGTTTTATAACTGAGGCTATGAACATAGGGGTGTGAGTGCCTCGACTTGCCTGAGGGTGGGGTTGAAGAGAGGTCAGAGAAGACCTCTCAGAGGAGGTGAGCTGAGCTTTGAAAGCCGAACCAGGGGTATTTAGGCAGAAGGGGAGGAGAATCCAAACAGAATGCCGCTCCAGAAGAGGGTGCCTGAGATTGTGATGTATTCAAGCAAACATGGTAAGGCTGGTACACAGTGAAGGAGGTGAGGATCCAGGGAGTATCCAGAAACCGGAGAGGTTGGCAGAGATTTATTAATTGGTTGGTTGGTTGACTGACTGACTGACTGATTCATTCATTCATTCATTCAAGTGTTTATCGAACACTAGGTCTGTACTAGACATCGCACTAGATCTGGGAAGTAGATGTACACAACAATGAGAAATCCCTGGTCTCATGAAATTTACCTTTTGGTGGAGACAGACAAAAGCACATAAACAGCAAATGCCATGAAGGAAATGAGTAAGAGGCCAAGTAACTAGAGAACAGCTTTAAACCACGTTTAGGGGAAGCCTCTCCAGGGAGGTGATATTTAAACAACGACCTGAGGCACAAGAAGGAACCAGTTAGACGTTCCAGGCCTGCGCCCTGCTTGCAGTGTCACTATATATATCTCTAATTTGATTTCTCTTCCTTTATAACCGAGACACGAAGGTCATCACAAGACACAAGCGGAGGTATAATTGCTGGTCTGGCAGAGTTAAGTCCATTCAAAGTCTGCCAGGTTCTTGGGCATCCCGTCTCTTAGGCAGATTCTGGGTAAAACCAAGTGAAAAACACAATCACGGTATCACAGGTCGGGCGACGCATGGAAAATACGATCAGTCTCCAGCCTTCAGCTTACTCTATATCCGAGGGCTGAAGGGCCATCATCCTTCCCAGTGTGCTCTTGGAAGACCTCTTCAGCTGTTCGATGGAGGTCGGAGCACTGATTTAGGTGAGAGTTTCTGGCAGGAGAAGTAATTAGGAGCAAGGCTCTCCAGCCAGGTCAAGTTATAAAACATTTTCTGCACCCCAGAAGGGTAAAAACCCTTTTTTAAAAGGTGGGAGTGGCACCTCCTCGTGAGATTCAGCCTCTCCGCCAGTGCCGCCCAGGCAGCAGCAGCGACCTCAGTCCAGGGCACGCTCTGGGGTCCCTGAAAGCGAAAGGACCGCCGTTTCCTGCCGGGTCCCCGCCGTCGCGCTCGCGCCCCGCCCCCGGCGGATTTGTTTGGGCCCCAGCTCCAGGCCCCGCCCACCTCGGGCGCCACCCGCGAGACTCCCTAGGGCCACACCCCCTTCCGGCTCTTCCTCCGAGTGGCCGCTTTCGGGCCCCCTCCTCGCCGCTCCGCTTCCGGGCCCGCCTCCCATCCAGCGTCAGTCTTCCCGCCCCTTCAGGGCGCCTCTTCAGGCCCGCCTTCCGCCCTCACCTCTTGGGGCCTCGCCCGGGCTTGCCCACCCCGCTGGCTCCTCCTCCCGGCGCGGCCTCGCTTGAGCCCCGCCCACATCCCGCCTCTCAGGCGCGCCTCGGCTCGCGCTCGCCGAGGCCGCCGCGGTCTTCCACGGGAGTCCTCCGCGCCTCTCCCGCACCCTCCTCCGCTCGCGCCCGCCCCGCCCTCGGCTCCTCAGGGGCGTACGCGGGTCTCCCGGCCCACCCCCAGCCCCGCCTCCGCGGGCCCCCGCCTCAGCCCCTCCTCCCCGTCAGGCACCGCCTCGGCTCCCCGTCCCTCCTCTCCGCCGAGGCTCTGGGCCTTTCCAAAGCCGGGCTGACGGCGGGGGGAGCCCAGGCGCCAGGCGAGCCCGACTGTGGCGGGGCGGGGCTGACGGCTCCCCGCGCTCGCGTCGCCGTGTCCTTCCCGGGAGGCCCGGGCGGGGGCCAGGGAAGGCCGGGGCCGGGGCCGGGGCGGCGGGCGGGGCCGAGCTGAGGGTGGCCAGCCCGGGCGCCCCCACCCCGCGCGCCTGAGTGGTGCCGGCCGAGGGAAGGACTAGCGGCTGCGGGGCTCGGGCCGCTGTCAGTGCGGCTGGGCGCGCGAGCGGCGCGGGCGCGGGCGCGGGGCGGGCAGAGCCGGGAGAAGCTGAGGGGGCGGTAGCGGCGGCGGGGGCGACTCCCGCGCGTGTGCTCAGCTCTTCACGCCGCGGCCGGGGCCGCCCTCTTCCTCCCTCTCCGCCTCCCTCCCGTCCCCGGGGCCGCGGCACCGCCTCCTTCCGCGCGGCGCGGCTTCCTCCGGACCGTTCGGCGCGGGTGAGTGGGGCAGCGGCGCCTCGGGGGGTGTGGGCGAGGGGTTCCTGTCCCCTTTCGGTCGTCCACCCCTTCGCGTCGGCCGCTGCCTATTTTTAGAAACTCTTTTTTTCCGCCATTCGGGGACTCCGGGGAGTCCGAGTAACTCCCGGCCCCTCCCCCGCGCCTTCCCCCCGCCCGGGCCCGCCGCTCGGGTCGCCCGCCCGCGGAGCCGCGCCGCGCCCGGCCGCCCCGCGCTCCCTGCCGCCCGCTCCCGCGGCCCGGGCCTGGGCCAGGAGTTGGCGGGGTGGGCCCGCGCCCGCTCGGAAGTTGGAGTCTTTGTGCTCGCGCCCCGCCCCGCCCGGCGAGGGGAGGAGAGTGGGGAGCCGAGGCCGCGCCGGGGAGGCCTCGGGCGGCCGGGCCGGGGCTCGGGCCCCCACCTCGGGCTCCTTCCTCCTCTTCCTCCCGGGCCGGGTCTGCGAGATCCCGGAGGCGCGCAAAACTGGTTTTGCCTCGCTCCCCGCGGGCCTGAGCGTTTCCTCGGCCCCCACCTCTGCCGATCCTGGGCTCCTGGCACACCTCGGGCTCGGAGAGGAACAACAGGCCCTCGAGCTGGGGCCGTGTTCGCGCCGCACGCCGCCCCGGGAGCGGCAGAGCCTCAGTTTGCCTCTCCGTGAAACGGGAAAGAAAGTCACCTTAAGGGTGTTTGTGGGTTCAGGGAGGGAACTGCTAGGTAACAGAAGTGTTTAATGCCAACAGGTAACATTTAATGAGACTTGACTCGGGAACTTCTTAAGCCTTATTTCGTTAATGCTCACGACGGTCTTTGGGGTTATCCCTATTTACAAGAGCAGGTACCAGGGTGCAGAGAGGTCAAGTACTTTGTTCCAAGTCACAGTTAGTAACCACAGAAAGGTAAAGCTGCAGTGCTAGTACCTATTATTTCTTGTGATCTTGCGTAATCTCTTAGTGCAGGGGGGATATTGACTTTCCCCTTGGGTCGCAACGTTTGCTAGAGACGTAACTTAGTTCTCCCAGACTCCTGGGCCAGTGTCCCGCTGCTCAGTGGTTGAAATCCCATTTTGGGGCTGTGGATGTCAGAGGGAAAGAAGGTACAGATGAATTTCTTTTTGCTAGTATTGTCGTTAGAAGTTGATGGCTGCTGGGGACAGCTCAGGCACCACTGAAGTTCCCTGGGGTTTTGGCTCTAGGAAGACTTAAAGTCTTAGGGCCATCCTTTATTTTGTTAATGGTATTTTCCTCTCCCCCTCCCCCAACCTTGCTTGTTCTTTATGGTCTTTAGATTTGTACATTCTAGTTGGGGAGGTAGGAGGCCAGGAAGTGGCTCAAGTCAACCCTTCAGCTACTTGCTTTCAAATAAGGTCTTATTTTTCCTATTTTCAGATAAGGCCCAGAGGGGTAAAAGCAAACTAAAATTAACTTTGGCAAATGCTCTAGTTTTCCAACGTATTGGATCCCTGGTGTAGGGAGTGTCTAAAAATTAGGGAGGGGAGTTCCTGGGCCAGGTCTTAAGAAGTGGTCTGATGTTTGCATTAGTTCTTCCAAGTCTCCCCAAGATTCTGAATTTGGGAGCTGTGGTATGTTGCAGTTGGGAGGCCTCCTTACCATTTAGTTCAACTTCCTTACCTGCCTTTCTTGCCTGTTCTATAAATTGCACCTTGGAAAGGGGAAGTAAGTTTTCTAACTTTTCTGCCTTAGTGACAGAATTAGAAGTAGAATTCCTAGTTGTCTTCCTCCCAGGCCAGTAATATTTTTATTTCTACCATGTCTTGTCACCTTGTGAAAGGGCACAGAACTACTTATCCAGACCTTAAGACCAGGAATTTGAGTAAATTGAAATCACCAGGAAGCTGTGTAGTCCCAGCCACTCTCTACAGCTCACCTTCTGTGCGCAGGTGTACCCGTTCTCATAAATTACCATTTTTATTGTATAGTACCTTACGGTTTATAGTACTCTTCCATAACCATTATCTGATTTCATTTCTAATTCAGTTCTGTGAAGGAGTTCTAGAGCTTGGTTTATACCTCCTTCTTGCAGCTATAATTGAGAATGGAGACACAGCAAGGCTATAGTACTTGCCTACTTAGATCACCAAATTAACAAGTAGTGAGAACAGATAACCTCTCGTGGGCAGAGGATTTTATGTGGCATCATAGAGCCACCGTTTCCTTATCTATAAACTTTCAAAGTCCTCACGTTACTGTGAGGACTTAGGAGGTATGACCATGAAAGTGCTTTGTTCTAGTTGTAGCATAGGAATAATAGCTAGCATTTCAGTACCTGCTGTGAACCAGTCACTGGACTAAGGACTTTGTGAGGAATCTTGTTTAAACCCATAGCAATGGTATGAATTAGGTACTATTATCACTGATTTACAGAAGAAGCAGTCTTAGAGAGTTACATACATGACTTGCCGAGGATCATGTAACTGATAACTGCAGACAGTGTAATTTTAAAGCCGGTGTACTCTTTTGGTAAAAATATACATAAGATAAACATTTTAACCCTTAAATGTACAGTTCAGTAGCATTAAGTACACTTACATTGTTGTGTGGCATCACCAACATGCACATTTAACACTTTTTCATTTTTTCCCAACTGAAAGAAACTCTGTATCTCTTAAACTAATTTCCTACTCTGTCCTCAGTCCCTGGCAATTTTCATTCTTTTTTCTAGTTCTTTGAATTGACTACTCTGGGTACTTCATATAAATGGAATCTTACACTAGTTGCCCTTTTATGACAGGCAAAAGCTGGTACTCTTAGTGCTGCCCTTCTTGTCAGAGTACTCTGTAAATGTGAAATGATTATTCTCATCTGCACCGGAGATTGTTGCGTGTGAACCCAGATCAGGAACCCAGACATAGTTGTACCTCTAGTTGTACCCTGTACCCCATAGAGTGAAGTTCCTTGTCACTGAAGCCCCCCCCCCTTTTTTTTGAGATCTCTCCTGTCTCTTTTTGTTTTCCAAAGACACTGCAATAGGATCCAGACAACTAACTTCTCATCCTCTTCTTGTTTGCACCTGCCTTTCTGACTATCTGGGGCTTGGGCATGTGGGACTGCAATGATCAAGGATTAGTAGTGCTGTGACAGCAGCTTGGATCAGAACCAGTCAGAGAATGATTAAGTGGATTACCTTTAAGAAATGCTCCCTCGGGCCTCCCCGGTGGCTCAGCGGTTGAGCGCTGGGTTGCAAAGCTGCCCGCAGCCTCTGCAGTGCCGGTTCGATCCCCGGCCGCTGGGCGAGGGTCCCACATGGCGCGCAGACCTCTCCTGCCGCCCACTGCTCCCCTCAGCAGTGTACTTCGGTCCTTCTGCCTGCTCGCACTCTGACTCTGGTGAATTCTCTTACCCTCCTGCGCTTCTGACTGTACCCAGTGCTTGTATAAATAAATAAATAAATCTTAAAAAAAAAAATGCTCCCTCTTTGTGTTCTCGTTCCGTAAAGGCACACAAGAGGGTTTGGCTTTTGAGTTCCTAGAGGCTGTTTATGGATCCTTACTGCTTGCAGGTGGTTAAGATAGAGTTAAATGCTGTTTTTAGCCTTTCTGTATTCCCTTTGATTTGACTATTTACATGTCATGTGTGTTTTGGGGGTGGAATGTAGTGCTTGTGAATGGTAGTTGGAGTTTTGTCCTGATACCAACAGGGGTTTAGGGTGGGAGAAGTTCCAGAGGTTAGTTTTGTCCTGATACCAACAGGGGTTTAGGGTGGGAGAAGTTCCAGAGGTTGGTAATAGGGCAAAAAGCAGGTGCTTTCCTTGACGATCGGATGGTCTAACGTTGCCTGTGTATTAAAGTCCAAACATACTAAAGTGATAATGACATCAGCATGTGTTAAGTTATTGATTAGATAGAAACATGTAGTTGAGGGGCTTTAAAGTTAATGTAGACCATTTACCTGACCAACATTTGAATTGTCTAGCTGTTGATATTCTGTCATTCGACACCTCGTTTTTGGAAAGTTTTTTCCTCACTGAACAATTAAGCATCTGCCAGACATAGTGTGGAGCTTAATGCTTTTAATGTATACAACTTAGTGGTCTGTTTATCGGGCTGTATATCAGGCAAGGAATCCGGGCAGTGTGAAAAGTGTTGTAACGGACAAACATCGTGAGAGTACAGAGGAATGGTATCTGATTCCACCTTGGAGGGTCAGGGAAGTCTTCCTTGGAGAAGTTAGCTGAGCCTAGACCTCAAGAAAAAAATACACATAAGGGCCTCCCCTGGTGGCGCAGCGGTTGAGTGCTGGGCTGTGAAGCTGCCCGCAGCCCTCTGCGGCGCCGGTTCGATCCCCGGCCACCGGTGAGGGTCCCACATGGCGTGCAGACCTCTCCTGCTCCGCCCGCTGCTCCCCTCAGTAGTGTATTTCGTCAGTCTGCCTGTTCTGGCTCTGGTGAATTCTCTCACCCTCCCGTGCTTCTGACTGTAACCAGTGTTTGTATAAAAAACACAAAACAAAACAAAAAACCTTGGGGCCTCCCCGGTGGCGCAGCGGTTGCGAAGCTGCCCGCAGCCTCTGCGGCGCCGGTTCGATCCCCGGCTGCTCCCCAGCCACCGGAAGAGGGTCCCACATGGCGCGCAGACCTCTCCTGCCGCCCGCTGCTCCCCTCAGCAGTGTGCTTCGGTCCTTCTGCCTGCTCTGCTCCCCGCTCTGGCTCTGGTGAATTCTCTCACCCTCCCACGCTTCTGACTGTACCCAGTACATGTATAAACAAAACAAACAAACAAATAAATAAATAAAGCATGCCTCTATTTAAAAAAAAAACCAAAAAAAAAAAACCATAAGCCCAGAAAAGATGAAATTTGGGGGAACAGAAATAAGTCTGTTGGAAACAGACTGTTCTAGGCAGAAGGGATATTATGTCTAGAGATGGTGGTGATAATAGGTGAGACTTTTGAACATTTACTATATCCACCAAGTGTTGTTCTTAGCATTTTGTATGTGTCAACTCATTTTTTTCCATCACCACCCTGGGAGGTATGAACTATTATTATTCA